TGAGGTAGCCTGAGGAAGCTGTTACATCACCTCACCTTCCCCACTACCACATCCACCCACTTGATCTTCTCCACCCAGCCTGCTTCCCCTCCATCCAGCCTGCTCCCCCTCCACCCAGCCTGCTCCCCCTCCACCCAGCCTGCTCCCCCCACACCCGCCCTCCCACAACAACAACTGCCTAACTCTTGCGAAGCTTCACAACCTTTCCTTGCGTCATGTTGCTTCGTAGTATCTGCTTCTGGCGCTGTGATGAGAGGTGTAGTGTGGGTGGGAGTGTGGGTGGGCGTGTGGGTGAGAGTGTGGGTGGGAGTGTGGGTGAGAGTGTGGGTGGGAGTGTGGGTGGGAGTGTGGGTGGGAGTGTGGGTGGGAGTGTGGGTGGGAGTGTGGGTGGGCGTGTGGGTGGGAGTGTGGGTGGGAGTGTGGGTGCTTCGTGGGATTAAAGGTTTGCGTAGATCATGTTGTTATTGCTACTGGAACCTTGGGACCATTGTACAGAGAACACCCCAGTGACCCCGTCTTGAGGCTCTGGTGGAGACCAGCACACATGAGACACAGAGAACAACACACATGAGACACAGAGACCAACACACATGAGACACAGAGAACAACACACATGAGACACAGAGAACAGCACACATGAGACACAGAGAACAACAAACATGAGACACAGAGAACAGCACACATGAGACACAGAGAACAGCACACATGAGACACAGAGAACAGCACACATGAGACACAGAGAACAACACACATGAGACACAGAGAACAACACACATGAGACACAGAGAACAACACACATGAGACACAGAGAACAACACACATGAGACACAGAGAACAGCACACATGAGACACAGAGAACAGCACACATGAGACACAGAGAACAGCACACATGAGACACAGAGAACAGCACACATGAGACACAGAGAACAGCACACATGAGACACAGAGAACAGCACACATGAGACACAGAGAACAGCACACATGAGACACAGAGAACAACACACATGAGACACAGAGAACAGCACACATGAGACACAGAGAACAGCACACCTGAGACACAGAGAACAGCACACATGAGACACAGAGAACAGCACACATGAGACACAGAGAACAACACACATGAGACACAGAGAACAGCACACATGAGACACAGAGAACAGCACACATGAGACACAGAGAACAGCACACCTGAGACACAGAGAACAGCACACATGAGACACAGAGAACAGCACACATGAGACACAGAGAACAGCACACCTGAGACACAGAGAACAGCACACATGAGACACAGAGAACAACACACATGAGACACAGAGAACAACACACATAAGACACAGAGAACAACACACATGAGACACAGAGAACAGCACACATGAGACACAGAGAACAGCACACATGAGACACAGAGAACAGCACACATGAGACACAGAGAACAGCACACATGAGACACAGAGAACAGCACACATGAGACACAGAGAACAACACACATGAGACACAGAGAACAGCACACATGAGACACAGAGAACAGCACACATGAGACACAGAGAACAACACACATGAGACACAGAGAACAGCACACATGAGACACAGAGAACAGCACACATGAGACACAGAGAACAGCACACATGAGACACAGAGAACAACACACATGAGACACAGAGAACAACTGGGTGTTCCAGTAATGTGGGTCTGGCTACGGTTCCAGGCTGCGAACGACAGTCTTATGTTTCGGGAAGCCTTTTATGAAGCCCCGGTTGTCACCAGGTCATCGGTCCGGCCGCCACCACCCCTGCCACCGGCCGCCACCACCCCTGCCACCGGCCGCCACCACCCCTGCCACCGGCCGCCACCACCCCTGCCACCGGCCGCCACCACCCCTGCCACCGGCCGCCACCACCCCTACCATCAGTGCTGCCTCAACTACCGCCCTTGTCACCACTACCACTAATACCACCATCTCCTCTACCACCACTACCACTAATACCACCATCTCCTCTACCATCACTACCACTAATGCCACCATCTCCTCTACCACCACTACCACTAATGCCACCATCTCCTCTACCATCACTACCACTAATGCCACCATCTCCTCTACCACCACTACCACTAATACCACCATCTCCTCTACCACCACTACCACTAATACCACCATCTCCTCTACCACCACTACCACTAATACCACCATCTCCTCTACCACCACTACCACTAATACCACCATCTCCTCTACCACCACTACCACTAATACCACCATCTCTACCATCACTACCACTAATACCACCATCTCCTCTACCACCACTACCACTAGTGTCACCACCACCATCATCACCGCCGCTAGTTCACTCCCAGACACTAACCACCATCACATGATCGTGGAAATTTAGAAATTGCAGAGGGGCCTGGTGACGCAGGTGAGACAGCTGCTGTTTATACCTAAACCAACTCATATAAATGTCTAACTAACCATTAAAATAATCCAAACAATCCAAACAAAACACGT